GTGAAAACAAAGCAGGGCGAAGTATGTCCTACTTGAATAAAGGAAGATAGGGGGCACACAACCTGGCTGTACTGGATGACCTATGGAGATCAGCTAAGAAGAGCAGAGAAACAGCTCTACTACAACTAGTCCTCCCATTGTCTGATTTGACAGTCCGGTTTCTACTTCAAGCAGGCTGTATAAGCAGGATCCAGAGATGTCTTCACTTCAGGCTCTTCCATCAAGCTTGAAAACCAATTCAGCTGTTCCTGGCGTTAAGGTTTGAAATATGTCGAAAAATCTTTACCATGAAGCAAAGACACCTTGTGCCCTAGTTACCAAAGAGGCCCAATACAATGTGCTGCCCGAATTCTTCAGTCCTCGGTTTTATAGTTTTAGACGAAATTTTAAACGCCCAGAGTAGAGACCTCTGTCGCCTGAAGGTTCAGACTATTCAGTGTAAAAAACGTTCCAAATAATGCACTCAATAGTTAGGTGCAAAGGACCGCCTTCTTTCGACCTTGACATGCGAAATCCCGAATTGTTTAAGTAAATAATCAGACTGAAGGAATACATCACTTCATATATCACGGAAAGACCGCTTGGCCTCAATAAAATACTACAACTGCCCTACCCTCATTGTAACTCTTTGTCCTTTATGCTCCTGATAGCGTCCGTTGAGCGGCCTTTTAAAGTACGTACTTACCCAGTTTCGAAGAGTCAAACACAAAAAAAATTGACCTACCACGAACATTTGCTCGAATATGTGCGCCAGAGGTAGGTAGGAGAGATAGACATCATACTCCGTGAAAATCTAGGAAAGAACAGTTTTTGTGATGTGCATAAGTGGTAAACGTACGGGCGTCTGCATATCATTCCCATAGGCCTCAACGTCTAGTTTGGCTGTTAACTGTATGCCCTACGTACATCCACCTGCAGGCTCCAACGCCTCCGGTTTTCTTAACTCGTTCTTGACACCGGACCCACGTGCGGGAGGAGGAGAGAGTGTGGTAGATGCTGCGCAAGTCCACATTCACTATAAACCAAATCATGCGCATGTCACCATGCCTGCTTCACTTCGCTGCGGAGCAAACGGTGGACATCATCGGTAACGACGGTCGAACTGTCACATGAGTCACAAGATTTTCGGTCAGCCGGACGACTCGATAAACTGGTTTCATCTGAAGTCTTATTTTTAGACAGGCCTACGAAGTCGATCCAGTTGGTCATATGTGGAATGAACTCTCCAAGAGATTACACTGCACTGACTGCAACATTCAATGATTTTCGAGGGTTGATGGTTTGGGGAACAGCCAGTCTGGCGGTCCAAGAAGCAAGGGTTACATCGATATTGTGAAGGATGCCCTCGGCTACAAAGTCATTCACCGACGCGGAGTGGACTTCATACTGTTGCTTGATAATGTTCTTGCTCATCTCTCTATCGTGGTACAAATTTGGTAACGCTTGCAAATATACTCTAAATTTTCAGAAAATAGTCAACCTCACCGTCTGCCGTCTGCAAATTACTTTTATGCCTGCTAACAGCTCACGATCTTGATCGCGTCAGAAACCTTTTCACTTACAAAAAGGAAGTGGTAAAAGGCAAAAAAGAATAATTCAATACAAGAAAAGCTTGGTTTTGCTGCTTGATACTCACATTAAAGAAACCACCATAGACAGCTTGGCCGTGTCCATGTCAGATATGAGTAAAGTGGTTTTAAACGCGGACAGACAGTGATCAGGACACTAACCTTTATACTTGTTATTAGTTTTCAGTATTCTTCTTTTTTCATGCGTTCCCTTTGTTATACGCTCTTATATTTAACCTTAATTGCGGGATTCGTAATAAAGCCGTCTTGTGGAATTCGAGTTTTCGGGGAAAAGTAATTATTTTAATGTTAGCAAATATTGTTTAATAAACCAAAATATTCCTTCTCTGTAAGAACGGTCTTTACTTTGCTGCTTGAAAAAGTTGAGAGGGCTACCCGTAGGCGGGTTTGCGTTACAGGGGTTTTCCTGTGAAACCCATGAAATTTCACGAGTTAGCACAGCCACTGTGCAGAAGAGAAAAGAACGAGAATGATTTCAGATCCCATCCGTGACTGCCAGGTAAGCGTCATGTGAAAATACTAATAAAGGCTGATTAAAGGAAACTCACGTCGGTTCCAGAGTTCACCATGTTGTTGTTGAGGCTAGCAATAATCATTTTGTTCGGAATCATAACACCCTTTGGAAGACCTTGAAAAGGGTAAAAGAGTGACCTTGATGACTTAGTTTATTGTTGGTCTGAAGTCGATAAATTAACCGCTTCGCGAGCAGGATCGAACACCAACTCCACGCGGAAATACCAAGATTGTTGATCATAAAGCGAATCAGGCATGCAGTCTCCACAATTAATGTCGCAATCGCTCCTCTATACCCCGCACCACACGATGAGGTGGTTTGGCACAAATAGATGCAGACATTTGCCTTATAACTACAATCAATAATTAGCTTGCCTCAACTTGTTTAAAAAACGACGATTGTATCTGTCAGACACGACATTCGATGCCCTGAACTACCCCTCTGCGGCATAAACATTAGACTGCCCAGCCACTGGAAGGTCTCTAAATTCTGTTCAGTGACGAGAAGACACAAATGCGATGCATGGTGAACTGGCTTACTTAAGCCGTTGGAATCAAGGTGTATTAAAAATTGTCTGCAGTATTATATGGCAGGCGCGCACGCATCCTTTTCATGGTTCCAGCCACTCATCAGAATAATTTAGCCTTTTCCGCCTGTACAACTTTGGCTCTTATAATCCCCAGTCGAATTTGACGCTCTCAAGATTATAGACTAAGGCTTTGGTCCGCCAAGGCCAACAAAAGTCCAACTGGGAGCAAAAGGAAATAGAGTAAGCTTCTAACAGCACTATTCCTCGTGGCAATGTGAACACCCCATTACCTTGTAGAATTTACTAGCTCCTTCCATCGGCCAAAATACTGGGAAGAAAGGTAGCCACGGCCGCAACGGCCAGAGCTGGGCCTCAAGCGGACTAGAATGGTGATTTCGAACGTGATTCGTAAGATTTCGTAAGTCATAAAAACGAGCGTTCATCCTAAATTCGTAAGCTGAATTCGCAGAAGAAAGTCTACCAGATCCTTAAACAGCGAGACAAGATCGAAGAAGGGCCTGAAATGATCCTTGATTAACTAAGGGTTGGGGGACACTTCAAAGCGAAGTATTCGAGAAGAAGAGGAGGGATAAAAACAGGCAAGTGCTCACAATGTCACCCTACTCACAAGGCCCAAGGCAGACAAACTGGGTCAGCGGACGACATATATGAAAACAAGCGTCCTGATATGTAGGTCAGAAAGACTTAGAAACGCATGTCATTACCGACGATGTTCATCGTGTGACCCAAAACATGGTGGGCACAGGAACGGTGACTGGAGCGTGCGTTAACCTATAGTGATGGTAGTCTTGCGCTGCATCTCCCGCACTCTCCCCCCCCCCCCTCACCAGGGCCCAGTATCAAGAAAGAATCAAGAGGACTGGCGGCAGAATCCGACACAAGTGGCTGGCACGAAACGAACCCGTGCCTAGGCGTGACACCATCCCCTGCTCCGCGCACAAGGGATCAGGAATTCACACAAGAAGGGGTGGGCAGATCGGATTCCGGTTGAGTGGAACTGTCATAAAGGCCAAAGTAAGAAGGATCCATTGCATTCTAACAACTCTCCGTCCTGAGGGATTGACCGAGTTATCCCCTCAGTCGGTAGCCTTCCAAGCCATAGCTTTGGCAGATTCAACGGACTTCAGACTATTTTTAGTGAGAAATATGCGCTCCCTCTTCTCACTCCCAAACATCAATCCACCGTCCGGGCCAGTATGCCGGCAAATGCTGAGGACGGACTCAATGACTGACAGGGCTGGACAACTCGTCCGCTAGTGCCCCGCACGACATCTTCCCCCACACAATGCACCAGGATTAAAAACAAAGGGGGTGTACTGCTCTGATGTCACATGTGTTAGAGTAGCTGGGGTCACATGGAGAAGGAGCCAAACAGTACGATTCTCAATTGAGTGAGGGGTGCCAATTACATATTTTTGGTGGATGATGGGGAACGGGTTCGTGTTTTGGTGTGTGCGGGTGAGGAGGTATGTGGTGATGAGGTTTGACCGGCTGGGTGCCGTGAGGACGCAATCCTCAGAGTCGAATTCACTCTCTCTTCCCTTTCGCAGACACCAATCGACTGTTTCAGTCAGTTAATTTTCCGATGCATGAACCTCGCGCAGCCCGACTGCGCGTGCCACACACACGCACACACACGAGCCGGTTCTCCCTACAAAACACCAGGTTTTCACACAAAGGGAGTGGGTGTCTCGGATCTCACATGCGCGGGAGTGCCATAGAGACCGCATTGTGAAGAAGGCATTGAGCCGGGCTCACACTCGACTAGTCAGCCACTCCGGGCAAAAACATACGCTGGGCTGACTGTTAGGTCCGCGTTGAATCGCCAGTTGGTAAGCTTCCAAGCCACGGCTTTTAACGCACTCTAATGAGTTCAAGAGCCTCAAAATGTTTATAGTAAGGAATATGCGCTGCAAGTCGACCTCGCCCTCTCTTCCCTCGCAGAGACACCAGCCAATTGTTCAAGCCTTTCAAGCAACTGATTCTGAGATTGGCCGCAGTGACTAACAGAGCTAAAAGTAACCCGTCTGCGAGTGTCATCTATGACCTGCCCCCACAAAACATACCGAGATTTCACACAAGGGAGATGGGTTAGTTGGAACTCACATGTGTTAGGGTAGCCGAGGGGTCACATGCAGAAGGAGCCGTATTTCACGCTTCCCACCTAGGTGAGAGGTAATTGTTCCTTGCTGCTGTTGGTGATATGAGTTAGCGTGCGGAGGGTGGTGGTGGGGTTAGGTATGCGATGGTTTACCGGAGAGTAGCATGGGGATGCATGTAGTCGAGTAGGCCCATGCGACGGCTGCATGCGCGTGGACAGTGCGGGCAGCTGAGGCGATGGCAACGGGTGTATGTTGGTGTTCCTAGGACTGGTTCGCCAGTCCCTGTGGGATGGATTCGCACGTGACTGACCAGGGCAATGCGTGAGGTGCATGTGCAACAATAGTATGGGCAGGATAGGTCGGGAGCTGCCGAGTCAGTTGCACTGGTGATGCTGCTAGTGTTCGCCGCAAAGATAGATAGGGGGGCGATAGTGCTAGAGATGGGAGAGCTGTCGCAGCGGCGGTGATCGCGGCGTCGGGGAATCAGGAGTGTGATCAGAGATCGTGGTGGTGGCGACGGCGGTAATGCTTGTGATGGCCGTCGTCATGGACGCCGTTGAGGTTGCTGCACGTGTGACGATGGGGACGTTTGTGGAGGAGGCAAGTGGAATTGCCAAGTTATTGTTGTATTGTGTCCGGAGAGGCCCGACGAAGCCTGTACGCGCGTGAAATGTTCGTTGACGGCGTGGACATGCTGAAAGGGGTTGGGTTTTGATGTTGTTGGTCTGAAGCGTTTGAGACTTGAGAGCCGCTCTTCGGGTTTTGACAGCAACGATCCGGTTGGCCTCACAGACAGTTTCTCCATTCATCACTACCCTTCTCCAGGCCGGTCGGTCCAGAGAGAGACCCTCCCAGGTCTCTGGGTTGATTTACTGTTGATTGAGAGAGGTTTTCGGGAGGTTCTTATAAGGCCGTCTTTGGCCGCCTTATTGGCGAGCACCAGTAACGACACTGCCGTAGAAGGGTCGCTACGGTAGGCGCTCGTCATCCATTCTCGGGGTGTGGCCGCTCCAGCGCAGCTTTATTTGCCTCAACATGGCGTGGATGCTGGGAACTTCGGTGTGTTCAAGGATTTCCGTGTCCAGGATTCTGTCCTACTACCCAAGCTTTAGCATTCTGCGGAGACAACTAAGGTGGAAGTGATTGCTTTTCCTGGCTAAATAATCGTGTCCAGAATCCTGTTTTGCAACCTCAGCTTTATTATACTTTGGAAGCGGCTGAGGTGGAAGTGGTCGAATTTTGCGGTTTGTTTCTTGCAGACTGTCCGGGCCATTGCCCCCTCTCGTGGCGTCATCAAGACTGCAGTTCTGAACATCTTGAATTTGGTGTTGAGGTTGAGACCACGACGAATCCATATTGACTCCTGCAGCTGGTCGAAGGTTTGGCTGGCTTTAGAAATCTGGTGAGGCACTTTGCCGTCAAGTATGGTGCTGTGCAAGAGTTCACTACCTAAGTAGACGAACTCTTAAATGATTTTCTGTTGAGTGCCTTTGAGAATGATGCGAGGGTTGTTGTATTCGGTGTTCGACAACGGCTAACCCACGGCCATCGTTTTATTCGTGTTGATGGACAGTCCAAAGTTCATGAAGCCGGGTGTACAGAGATTCATGCTCGCTGCATATACGTATCTGTCGCAGTGTTAAGCAGTCAGTCGTCCAGAGAAAGCAGGTGGTGGATAGTAGTCGTGGAGAGATGTGTTGGGGCCTACATGAGCGGTAAATTGAGAAAATGGCCGTTGGGCCTGTAGACGATGCTGATTCTAGTGCACTTATCACATCGGCCACCACCAGCATGGCAGAAAAAATTAGGCTGAAGAGCGTGAGAGCGAATTCGCAGTCCTTGTTCCAGACTGTCGTTGACACAAATGATCGCCACGGCAATGTTGAGCAGCGAAATTCGTCTGTGATTATCGCAGAGCTGCCGGTACGCTTTTCGCTTGTAGAGATAGAGGATAGTGGCGTCCTGGGGAATTTGTCCTTGGCGTCTGTGAGGTGGGGCCGGGGGAACGGAGACGTAGGTTGCAGCTGTTTGTATTTTCGACGGTGATTCGCATCCACAAGCCACGGCATGTGTGGCCCAAGCATGCGTGACAACAACTGAGGGCTCACAGACTCGGAGCAGCCCGATGGGATGCCGGGACTGGCATGGTATGATAAACGTGTCCACTGAGAACCACATACACGCTTACACGACAATAGTTAAGATCTCGCACAGACTCAGTGCAGCCCGACGATAGCACGCCATGAGTCAATTGTAATCCTATTTTGGTCTGACGAAACAGCGGCGCGGCTCGTCTAGAGGGCAAACACACACATATCCATTTGAACAGTCAACGACAGACAATGACGGTTACCTTACTGATGATTTAGATTGGTCTTCCGACTGATCATTCTGCTGCTTGAAAAGATGCCCGTACATCATGGCTCTTCAATGTCCCCACTACCTGGTGGCAGTAAAACGTTGATAGATGACTTGGAGGCCATCTTCTCTAAGTTTCCTAATTTTGGGTAGCCAAGGTGTTACACTGAGGATTTCACCGATAATGGAAAAACGACCTCAAAGGATAACCGTTTTGGGCGGAATGAATAAACATGTAAAAAAGAACAGTTAGTTACGGTTGGGTAAGAGGAATGTCGGGCGTCAGGGGTCTGTCGACGTGGTAAATGGAATTGACCCGGGCAGATGGCCCGTAGGATGTAGCCCTGACGAAAGAATAAATTTTGGACTGTTACCCCTCTCACCTCCCCCAAAACCTTGATCGGATTGCGTTTTTTAACAAGCAAGCACGGAAGTTTTAAGCAGGCTTGATGAAAAGCGGACGGAACGTGATAGGAGCCTATCTTTGAAATGTACAGGTGCACAATTCCGAGGTTAGACCAAGCCGAAGAAACAGGTAACACAGACGAATAAATTAAGCAAAGGACTTCCCTCTTTTTGGCGAAAAATACACTGACCTGTGGTTCCGCTGGTGTAGCATATGAGGATCAGGTCGTCTGGTCCGGAAGACTAACCCATACAAGGAAAAGAATGCTGTGAGAAAAAGTCCAAATCGATGTAAAACAGACATCAACACAGTATCTTGGATACATTGTGGGCGCTGTGAACGCGGAAAGCCCTGTAAAAGCATTTATAGAGCAGTCGAAATTAGCACAGTTTGCATAAACGAGTGGTAAAAAGGAGTAGGGTGGTCCTATGACATGACACCGATCGTATCTGTTAGGACAGATGTCGTTAGGGATAGCAAGAGGGCTGGGAAGGGCTCAGAACTGCGAAAAACACAAGACTTACACTCCCCTATCACTCATTTCACTAAACAAGCTCATACGTCGGTGACTGGGGCTAAATAGTGCGCCACGGTTGTATGCTTTATAAAATGAGGAAACCTACGGGCAACGACAGCTGTATGGAAAGAGATGGGAAGGGCTTAGTGAAATTGGGTTGTGCGAGTAGGTTGTCGGCGATTGCGCTACCAAAATGTCCACTCAAACAAGTATGCAACTGCCGTCCGGTAAGGGTTCGATGAATTTTAGATACCTCGGAAATTCTAACAGCGACACACCTTAGGCAGCCTTTTAAGTCCGCTAATTCTAGCGTCCCATTCATAAGAAAAAAGTGGGAAACAGTAATTTAAATTCAATTCTCGGCTGCAAAGTGCAGCAGAACAAGCAGAGACATTTGATGGACGAGTATTAGTGACAAAAAACGGAAAATACAAATGACTGCTTCTGATTTGTGTCGTCACCAGCAACTCCCAGTCAGATCGCAGGCCAGGAAGATCCGCAGTTTTAACATGGATAGGTCTGCGATTGCGAAGTAAATCCCACACTCTACCGCTGAGCCATAAACTCGAGTTCGGAAGGCTGCGGTAGGAAACATCTGATCACTTTGGTGGGCGTTTGTCGATCTAACCTGATTGTAGAGCAGAAAAATGGCGATTCCAGTTTGGTTTGGAATTCCCGTCTATAGTCCATGCAACTAGGATATATGAGTGAAACGGCACCCTTATGTGACCGAATACCCCGATCGCGATCGATGAGACACAGGCTCGTGGTTCAAATGACAGAGAGGCTGGCCCAAGTGCTCCATGATTAGCTGTCCCCTTCTTCCAGTCTGGAGTTGGGTATGACTAGCGAGTGACAACAGGCAAGTCTGAAGCAGCGACTCCAAGGCAAACCGTCCGACAGTCGACATAGATCGACAGACACTGCCCGCATATGAGGCGTTGCATACTACGGCGCATTTAGAAGACCCATCGCTGACTTGGCAAAGATACCACCTCCCTTCTCAGGTGTACAGATGCCATCGTATACTCGATCGTGCAGAAGGACGCTGGGGCACAACAGTCGACATGCTGCACAGCTGGGCCCCGACGACCTCCTCAGAGTGAGCTGACAGTTCAGCGACTGCCCGACGACTAGGGCACAGAAAGGAAGTTAAACGCTCAAATCCTCACCGATGTCAGAGGGAATTCGAAGACGTTTCTTCGGACGCTACAACCTCTTGGAGTGAACCTGACCCACAGACTGCTAAGTCCCAGCCCGCGACATTGTGATGCAAACTCAGGTACGTATCATCCTATAGGCAAAAGAATATCTGACAAATGCAGCAAATTTGGGCAATCTGCGCGTTGAATGAGCTTCGCACAGAGCCCCGATTTGTGGTTGACTCCATTATTTCAACACTTCTACCTCTTCTCTTGGAAGCCAAGAGAAGAGTCAAATGCCCTGTTAGTGCATCACTGATACCCAATATAACCACAAAGACGAATGAGCTGGCTGAACTTGATGACATCTCACATAGTGCCTTTCATTGAGTGCTAATTTGTGGAAGTGGACCGAGAGAGCTCCACTCAATCCTGTCCTCCGCTGCGAAAGCCGAAGAACCGTCAGGTCTTAAAGACTATTTTAATACAGGTCCGTGCTGACCAGTGGGGCGCTGCCATAGAACTTGGGCAGTATCCCTAAAATAATCTACCTGCAAGATAACAGTCGTCTGATAGGTAACACAATGCGTGCACACGAATCATTGGGCAAGCGCGTATTGCATCAATTCTGAGGCAATCTGTATGCGTCAATCGAAACACAGTCAACATTTCGTCCAGAAACCCGCCCTTAGGTTTCGAAGCCGGTCAGACTGTTGTTCTATAATTCATTACTAACATGTGCAAGATACTTTCACTGCCACCACTGCACGCCATGAGTCAGTTGTGACCCTTCTCGGGTCTGACGAAACGGTGGCGCACTTCTTTTGGAGGGCAAACGAACACATCCAGTAAACCACCTGGGAACGACAATGACAATTAATTCATTGGTGTCTTTGGGAGAAGGACAATTATATTATTGGCGATTTAGATAAGTCTTATGCCTGATCTCCCTACGCGAAAAGTGGACAGGCATCAAAATTCTTAGTACCTATTCCAGTTCCGCATTAATCTAGAAACCCAAGCATATAGGCTGTCTTCTGTTAGATTGCTGATACTGAGTAAACCGGGTGTTGTACTCCAGATTTCTCCCGAGAGCGATAATAATACGATATTTTTGGCTTATCAAGGGAAAATCGACCTCGAAGGATAGTAATTCGGCGAGTTCGAACGGCATTTAAAAGTTTTTCATCAGTTTTCAACCTTGTCCGAGTTTTTGGGCCCCTATGCGCAAGAGGACCCAATCGTCAACGGCACGGGGCTTAATCACTGGCTTTCCTAATACATAGGTACCTTCGAGTTTCCCTGGCGGTTGGGATCTGTTCCATAAAACTCCTGCCCGGTCAAAATGTCCTCCTTAAAGTGAGCTTACAGTTAATTTGCAATGCTGAGTCAAATGGGTTACGACTGGATATGTAACCCCACCCAGAAAATAGAGCCCAGAATTCCTGTAATATGGAAAGGATGTTAATATTCGTTTTATCAGAAGGGCAGATTAACCCGACGAATAAATGAAGCTGCGGAAGCCATCAAGTAAACTCGGATTTCTGCCATATGTTTGTTTTATTGTTTCGATCAGGTGCCGGAGCAGACAGTGCAATCTACGACGGATGGGAGAAAGATGACGGTCAGGACGGTATGCGGCAGGCAAAATTAGTCCAAATTCTAATATAAAGCATTACCACAACCAATCATTTTCTTAAGCTTAATCAGAAAAGAAACCCTGGCATAACATGCCTAACAAAATCAAGTAAATAGACATGTAAAAGTAATAAAAACTTGGGTCCAGCTATCCAGTCGTTACCCAAAAATGCACTGTCACGTTCGGCTCAAGCTGTCTTGGCCGACGGATGCAGAATTTCCCAGTAAATTCCCTTATTTTCAAGTAGCTATGTGAGCCAGAGGATTCTCTAAGTAAAGGTCCGTAACAACGCACTTTGAAAATAAGCATTGTTTTACGAGTTCGTCCTCGATCCAGGTCACATACAAATGCCGGATCCCCATTTCGATAAAAGATGGGGAAAATTTGCGCGGTTTACATGATAGGTTGACTCATCGCACGAGCAGACTCTGAACAACGCACAACAAACATGACATTCTGTAGGATTTTCAGAGAAAAGTACTATGCATGGAAATAGCCACGGCGACCTACTCTACGAGCTCTGCTATCTAATTTGCCCGCCGGGCAGGTGTCCAAAAGTACAAAATCAATTTTTGCGAACACTTAGTTATTACCGTAGCGAATGGGGATTGAAAGATATCAGAACTCAAAGGCGGTTGGCGGAGACGGACGCAGCTAAAGCTAACAAAGAAGTCGACAAAAATAACTGCCAGCCGTGCTCATCCCTTGGCAGTGACATACCAAGACTTCCTTCGGATGGGTGCTTCCAAGCGTCTAAAAGAAACCAAAAGCAAAATTCTCATCTAGGCATGCAGGGGAAAAGACCCTTACAACTTTCTCCCCCCACCACCATGAACTATGGGCAATAATGAACGACAGGGTAGAGGGCACAACCTACAATAATTTCATCAAAGGTGTGGATTTGTACGCCGGGCCCAGCCTTGCTCTTGAGTGACTTCATCTCCTCGCTGGAGGATTTCATGACAATTATGTGCTTCAAACACTCCAGAGAAGACGTCAAGGCCAACAGTTTTGAGGCACGCGCCGGTGTATCGCAGACAACGGTGGACAGATCCGCTGCAGGAGGAAAGCGAAAAATAAAGTTAGAAAGCACAAGGTCTGCGCAAAATTACAAAATTGAAATAGTGGTTCTGACTAAAGTTACTGTGGGGTAGGACAATTTCCAGTTAGAACTACGGTGATCGTAGTCGCGCTCAAGGAGTGTCATGCTGGGAAACCATCAGACAAGAGGAGGCGGCCTCACATGAAGTACTACTGAGAACAATCTCGCAACGGCAGTTAAAAATCTTACCCTGATTACAGATGTGAAGAATGGCCTCATCTCCCAGGGTGTCGTAGAGGGGAACCGAGGTAAGTCTGTAGGAAGCGCATGCGTATTGTGCGATGACCCACTGAAAAGACACAAATCATGAATTCTATCATTGGGCATAGAAAAAGATAAGAAAGTGTAGGGGCCTTAGCTCAGTAGGTAGGCTACATAAGGACAGGAGTGGCGGATGCCTAATTTGGGACGGAAGCACCGAAAAGGTCTACGGAACACTCACCTCTTCTTTCTTCAAATATCACCCCACTCCAAATCCGAGTCGGATTTGAGTAGTCAGGTTTCGCGTTGGAAGATGACCACCACACATGCGTAGTATCTTACCCAGTCGAGAGGGCGCTGGAGACTGGCCATCTGGCCAACTAGTCGAGCAGAAAACTGTCTGCAAAATACGCACTGCATAACTCGCCAAGGATTTTGCTGCCACGCAGGACAATGGCCACTACTGCTCTATAAAAAGCACAGTGCTGACTCGCGCGTAAATATGTCCGCAGGGGAGTAGATTATCGAGGCATTCACTTTACCCACTCTGTCCCCACAAACCATGCGCTAATGGTAGGATAGGACAATTTGAAGATGACGCAGAGTGGGTGAATTCACGTCTCTATGTATCACACAGATGCCAGTCACTAAACCCGCACGTACCAACCTATGGCGTGGAAGACTCCGGTCTCACATATACACGAAAAACGAACACCACATTATTAACAGAGAGCCAGTATGGCCCAACTCTATGTCTTGAGTTATTCTCCCCAAGTAGCAATCTTATCAGCGTGCGAAATTGTTTATAGCGGGGTGACCAAGCGCTGGTTTCGGGAGCAAAAACCTCAATTTCTCTTTCTCCTCAAATTAGTGCAAAGTCCGAACCAAGCTAACTGGCGATGAGACTTAACGCAGTGGCCGACGTGACGTAAAGACTCTATCCAATGCGTGCCACGTACAAACATGACGCCACTTCAACCGAGTCGTAGTCCAGGAAGACGTATTTAGGAACCAGTAAACTATGTAAAACAATTGCTGCTCTTTTTTACACATTTGGCAACCAGTCTACCAGATCCAGCAGTCGTTGTCCGTTTGCCGGCATAATTCAGTCACACCTTGCATATGCAGGTAGTGAGACGACATAGTCATCAGACGTCGCACACTGCGAGACTTCTCATCTGCTGATGTCTGAAACACTATTATTCAACGATGGGGAGGAAAACATCGGTTTTGACAGAAATGGTAATCCGTTCTCGTTGCCCCTTAACTTCGAAGGGATGCAACAAAGATGTATTCGGTAGATAAAAGAGGTTGTAAGTCTGAAGATCGGAGGACAGAAAGCTAGAATAGTACAGAAATGGCCATACTGACATAGCAAAAACCGTTGTCCCGACATCTGGCAAGAGGAGGAACCCAATAAACCAACTCACTGCTAGGCGTCTTTGGAGGGCACACACAAATCAGCATAAGCTGCTCACTAATCAGTACATCACAGCAGAAAAGAACCACCCTCTGACAATACGCAAAAGTCAAAAAACTCCGAAAGGGTTGGGTGCAATATAGCTTACTTGCCAAAGTAGGCTAAAAGAGAAACTTAATAAAAAAAACCTGAAGAACATTCTGCAGCATCCATTATATTGTGTTTAAATAAACGAGCAACTGCATCCAGTGCGCCCGTAGGAGAACAGAGGATGCTTAAACAGACAGCTGAATCAGTGCAGGCTGAACTAACCAAAAGGGCAACACGTTACTGCTTGCTGTTTCTCACTGATTTCCTATGGATGGGGAGCAGCTAAAATCAGCTTTCATCCCGATCTCCTCAACAGCTATGGCGCTGCTACGGCGAACCCATCTCACCCGACTGTTGGATTTTAACGGAGCTCACGGCAGCGTCTTTGGACGCAACGGGTCGGGTACAGGTAGGTTTTGGTTCACGCAATAGGCAGGCAAGCAGAGAAAGAAGACGCGGCTCCAGTATGGATCACTGAAAGCTGGCACGACCTACTGACCGCCTTCCCCTAGTCCTGGAAATCGTAAATATGTTGCCTCTCAGACGCAGCGCAAATATTGTTGCAAGAATGAAAGACACGAACACACATGATGGCTGAAAACCTACCTCGGAACAGTTAGTACCGTAGATACCGACACATCGCCAAGGGGTTGCAGACAGACAGTCGAACTCTTGGAGGCCTGAGCCGAAGTGCTTAAGACGAGCGTAGCACTATGAAAAGGTGGACAACATGAGGTAAAGGAAGTAAGAATGAAATCAACCTCGGCGTAGGTTATCCAGGTATAAGGTTCGGTTGGTGAGGTGTGAGAACCGAGACAGGGCCGGTCGGCTGCAATGAATAGGGAAGCACGATTCAGAAACAATGCAATACTCAGACAAAAGATAGGCATAGATGTAATTTCCCGTACTGATACGTGGGGAGAGAATTATAAAAGGGAGACCGTTGTATCATTTTCCCAGGAGCTAAAACTTCACCGTCCTATTTAACTTGTCATGCTACGCTGAAACTCAAGGACGGGACAATCGCACAAACAGCATGGGAAAAGTGGAACAGTAAGCTTTACGGAGAGGCTGAAAATATGGATAGCCAAAAATATCTACGTCCGGGAGATGGGGTGTAGAGATCGGCCTACCGCTATGCTTTATTCCTCCTCTCTGCACCGGAAGCTTAACATAGGTATAAGCACTTTGGATACGCCCAGAGATTAAATATGCTGTGCCTTTTCTGGCGATTAGGCCGGACATTATACAGTCTGCTATAGTAATCACGCCTGTGACGAAGCCCGAACTCGTCTTTCATGCGTCCATGCCTACTCCCGGTCACCCTGATTTTGTCTTAACACCGGAACACTATGCGGCAGTAAAGTAGACGCATCGCATGTCTGTTTCACTGCAAACAGATTTACGCGCAAGTCACAGCTGTGCCCACCTCGTCGGACATTGGCGGACCTCCTTGCCCCGGACGGTCCAACTACTGATTGCATGTCGAGCGTCCATGAAAACCATTCACATTGGGGAATGATGACTGCAGAGGGAAAGTAGGTCTTCACTTTCCTAGCCCCCATCATACTAGAAAGCAAGTTCGCAGGCACTATGAATGGCTAACTCTAAAATCCTGCCAATGTCTAAATATATTTTAGAAGACAGTATGTACTGCTTCTGGTTGAATGTGCAAAATTCCCAATTTTCCTGCTATTCTCAACTACTGCGACATGTCAACGTGATCAGTTAGGATTTGCTCGCCATCCCTGAGTGACTGAGGCATTACTAGCTACTTTATAACTAGGGAGATCCATGGTGACATGCTACTTTGAACAGGCTAGAATTCTCTTCAGAATGGTCCTTGATTAAAATTTCTTACTAGGTATACACACGCTCGCCAACCCGTATAATGCATTTCCTCCTATAACCTTTAAACTCTTCTGTTATGTTTAAGTATCCTACCACTGTCCTTTCAATTTATTCACAGGAAAAATATACCTTCGTTAAGGAGGAATATTGATCACTGGGACAAGAGTTTTATCCATCTGACATAGAATCAAAAAGCCGAGCAAATAAAACTCTTGTTACTGGGATGCCGATTTCTGCTTCCCAGGGGTGAGTTCATACCCTAATTTTCTGAAAGAAGGACTCATTTTAACGACGGAATTAGGCAGGCACAGGTTTGGTCTCAGCTTGCAAAAGTTACGCCTCGGATGTCTGTCAAGGATGTGGCAATCAATTTTCACCTTACAGTTTGATATAAATTAAGACTGTCCGGCGTCAAACATATCCCAACCACGAGGATAAACGTCCAAGTAAGCTCCAGATCGCGATTCGACTTTGGTGTTATATCATGTATGTAGCATTTAAGGTGAGCGGAGAGGTTTAAACAAATGTGGTCCCCAGTCATGTCTTTGGAGACTTATCAATTAGGAGTGAACGCCCACGAGTTTTGCTGACCAGCTAAGAAGGAGTGCTAGAAGCTCCGTTGCAACTTCGTACAACAGAACACGATGGCTACATTGGTTCCCGCACAAACTGGCACATAATTAGGTCAACCACACTTCATTTTCAGACTCAGCAGTAGGCTGTCATCTTTTTTCCTCAGGTTGTAAGAGAAGATGTAATTACGGAAGTTATGACTGCTCGCAATAAATTCAAAATCAACGGTACTGTCTTTATTATTGAAATATACATACCTTGTGTCATTTTGTCTACCTATTTAATACGACAGCCATCCCCAAATAATAAGGGAATGACAGAGTCAACAGTGAGCAGATCGGCCATCTTCATCCTTTTGCTTAAGTATAAACGTATTCATTGTACTTCATAAAGAAACCCCCCGAAGCGTGCCTGTCTACACTCCTTAGTGGTTAAAAAATCTTCGCATTTGTGGCAGTCGAAGGAAAACCGACAAGGCGAGTGATGGCACAGTCCCCAAGTTTTATTACTGCCTACTCAGTTCAAATCTTAAGATTCCTATTTGGATTGTGCCAGCCATGCATTCAAACAAAAGATACAACAAACAAACCCGCTAGAGTCGCCGCTTCCTTAAAGATATCACCAACGCAATGAATAGATGAGAGGAGGTTTGGCAAGTTGCCGGACGGAAAATTGCCGTTAACACGTATGCCGTCCTGAAGTGAAAAGTACGGACGTTTCACCTGATACAGCGATAATTAAATTAAAGTAAATGAGAGCATTGGTTGCAATTGTCTCAGGTTATTTGTCTTGAGAGATAAAGATGCATGAGGATGAATTCGGTACAAGGATAAATCACGGTTGCTGCACAGCATACGTTTACCTATAGGTTCATCATAAATCGCTATAAGCGATGAAGGAGTCATAAAAGGCCTGCCTGGAAAAACACTGCTCATGCCGAAATATATACATTAAGCAGATAAAATAAGGGCTAAACTTGTTAACAACGTTGTGCAATCAAAGCATACAGGGGTGAGTTACCTCAACTGTCGCGCAATAACAGCTAATTGTTGGCGTGAAGAGAATTTCCGGAACCCTTTCGGAGGACATCTTAGGAAGTTTGATGCATGCACGTCCTGACGTCGGTCAACAATGTGCACATTAGCATAAAGTATATTTTAACCCGCCATACAGAATAAGTAAACTAAACATAAAATATCTAGAAAAGGTGCCTAGGTGTGATAATGAATCTAGGTCTAAATGCCGAATAATCTATAATTCAATTAACGGAAGGCATACTTTAGGGTAAGAGATGAAATTGCCTTAAGGCAGAGTTGGAATTCGAAATGTTCGTGTATTAATAAACGAACTGTAGATAAAACAAGTAATTGTTGCCAGAACCTGCCCTCGCACATGACAAAAGAAATCATTATTTATGGTGAATTTTTAAATCTTGATACTTTTGGTTTATTATGTGCAACTCACCTTGCGGAGAAATCTCGTGGATTGTTTCTTTTATAACTATTTAAATTCCCAGCATGTGATAAACATATTAATCATATTCTAAAAACACGAAACTGAGTTCCAGTTACAATACAGCGAGAGTCTTAAAAAGAGCCTGATTTGAGCGTTTCATTTCCATGTGGAAAAAACGAGGACTAAAACGGTTCTAATTGTGTTTCTCTAGAATTCCAAAACGAACACAGAAAAATAATTTTTAAAGAAAATGTAAAAAATTCAGGTCTCGGAAAGGAAGGAAATTGGACTAAGAGCCCCGCTCCAGCTACCATTACCCACACAAAAGGAACATCAGCTAAAACTCTGAACGAGTGCCCCGCGAAGCCTATTAGGTTATCAGTTCACGTATTCAGGACGAACAAACAAACATGACCTTCAGTAAGTGATCTGCAGTAGGGGTGACAATTCATGAAATGTCATGAGTCAGCACAAGAAAGTCCTTATAACACAAAATCCACCCTACCCGCGCTCCCTTATGTCTTACAGCAGTAAGAAAACTGTTGATTTAAATAAGAGGGTATGATTGGGTTTGTTTCTCATGAAATGTTAGCCCAAATTCTGAAATGCGCTTTGGATTTGAATGGATCACTTAGGTGGAGTTGTAATATTAGTTATTGAGCGGCATAATTCCATAATATTTAGACTTGCCAGGATGTTGGATTTTAGTGGGTATAGTAGGGGATTGAGGCTTTCGCACTTGACCTCCCTATTCATATCCAAAACAGCAACAGAATCAGTTGTTACGCCAGCAGTTCTTTAAAATCAAAAGCTATTGGTATGTAGAAACCGCACTCGGCCAAAAATGACTACTTCCCTAATATGCATTTGTCCCATTGATTTTGGATAATCATATTATTATAAATATTTTTTTATAGAACACATGCACAAAAATCTGCTTTCATTTGTGCATTATATGCGAAATCACGTTTTCTTCACATTTTGTCCTTGATAAAAGGGTATATTTAGATCTTAAAAATGGTTTCATATTTCCGAAAAATTTTGTGCCACATAAGTCGTTGCATCAGCGCTTAGCGATTTCAACTAGCAAGGTGCATACATTCCGCGTAGAGGGAATCATATATGCCTCCATTGCTTTAGAAAGATACCATACAGAGTTCCTTAAATTTTCCAATGCATGCAGACTCTGTTGTATACTTTATTGCATAATTAATAGACGGAGAGGTACGATGGTGCATGGATAGACATTGCAAAGTCTTAAAGAATCTCACATTTAGAATTATTCCTAAAACCGAAAGGCACTCTTCCTTCGAGCATGAAATACGGAGATGACATGATTTGCTACCAAATGCTTGACAGAAAGCAGATTTCCGGGCATGTTCTCCATAAAAAATATTGACAATCACATGAGTATCGAAAATCAATGGGAAAAATGCATACTAATCAAATATTCATCATTACCGTCTGGGGTTTCAGCAATTGGAGTATGGCGCATGATAATTATCCTTACTAACCCAACGTAGTTATCCTTTAAACCGAAAACTCACTTTGATTTTTTCTATATTCCTGAATAAGTTTTTGACTAGACGTCACTCAGCAGACTTGCCTGTGAAATGTTTCCTCTACTTGTTGCGAAATGAAACTTTGTTCACCATGATCGCAGACCGACAATGCTCTTTGCTCGATCTCGAGGCCAATCTGAAGACTTCAATTTCGAGTATGATTTCCAGGATAAAACATATCTCATTAACTTGCCTATTCCCACCTAGACCACTAGTTAATGCAGAGACCCGCTCAAAAAATTTATGCAACATAAAGCGCCACAACCACCATGCGCCAGGGGCAAGGCAGCATCACAATGTGCTGATCTACCATGGGCATTGATTCTCCAGCCTGGGACTCACTAGCTATTCTTCCTCTCATACCCCGATGGACAGTACGATCAGACCATCCCTCTGATGGCGCTTAATGGGCACACTGACTGACAGACCTTGACAGCCCGTCTAAGTGTTGAACGCTAGACCTGGTCATTTTATCTACCGGGATACATCAAAGGAAACGCCCCCTCACTTAAGTGAGAAGTGCGCGTTTTGACACGTGGTGTTGCGCCGACTACAGCTGCAACGGCAAATCTGATCATAAAATTGCTGTAGGAACGAGGAATGATTGTTGTTATGGTGGGTGTGTTGTGGAGTGAATGATTAGGGGAACTCCATATTTGGCCTAAGGATCTGTGTCTGGGTAAGTAAAACAAGGTGTAATGCCAGGGCACAAGAAGCGCTTCCATTGAGAAATCCTAAGGAGGCGAGGAGACTAAATAGGTCAGTGAGATGACTGAATGTACTTGGGCTGTGTCAGCAGCTGAGGCTAAGAGGCGGCTCTATATTAGTGCTCGTGAAATTGGTTCGTCGGTCTCAGTGAGATGGATTTACAGACCGATGCATGCTGAATGTGCGATGGGAGTAAGGACAGACTGGGAATATGGCTAGTGAGGTGGTACTGTGAGAATTCTATTAGAGCTGAATATGTCGGTCGTCGTATATTTGGTGTCGCTGGTGGTATAGGAGATTGTGGGTATAGAAAATAATTTTGTCACGGAGAATTTGCGACGAATTCCGCTATCATGTGTGCAAATATGGAAACATAAACCCATGGGGTGTCTGGAAGTCGAGTGGCATTGCAATCAGAGGAGGCGTACGTGACGGCTAAATGTTGGGACAAAATTCACTAGTCCGCCGGTCTCAATGCACTGGATTTTCAAATGACCGGCGAGGCACAAATGGGATAATAATTTGCGGACGAAACGGCGACTGGCCGGAAGTGAGCCTACATTTTTAGTGGCATAGAAAGTGATGGTGCTGTTTTGCAAGATGGCACGAGTGTCCCCACTGGTTATGCTGGTGTTAGCGTTTGTAGGGTTATGATGTGAGATGAGAAGTGAATTAATCCAGTTGCCATCCCACTGGGCTCGCAAATGTCCAGCAACACCAATCCGCGCATGAGAGTTTAGTTGACAATGTCGACGCGACGACAAGGATGGGTGCTTGTGGTACTTGTCCACAGCACGTGAGTCATGCATATCTCCCTTTGCCCAGACAACGGACATTCGTATGACAATGAGGATGGCTGCCGCAGTCTTTACGGCAGTCCGCCACGCTCTCGGGCTTGAGTGGGGTCCTCCCATTTCTCTGGGCGATTTTCAGATGCTTGGGAGAGGTTTTCAAGGTTCCATTGCATTAACGCTTCTATCCATCTGGTCTACGACCATACTTAGCTACATAAAAGTTTAACAGCTGCCTATAAAGACGATTATCCCCCACAAACATGAAGTAGCTGCTCTACCGCAGTTAGATGTGTCTCAACACAACGTGGATCCAAAGAACGCCGGTTCTTTCGGGAATTTCACTGACGGGCATATTTTCCTGTCACCACATTTTCCGCATTCTTCGAAGGCTCTTCAACCGAAAATGACTGAGTTTTTCGCTCGACCTTCGCAGCCAATCCAGTTCTTCGTCATGTGAAAGAACGTTTTCAGGATAACAGCCCTATCCATCCGTGCTGATGATAAGATCAGAGTTAGAGTAGTCGGAGAAGGAGAGGTCCACATTACGATGCACATCCTTTTCGATGTAGTATTTAGGGCCCACCCCCCAGGGGACAACAGGTCGTGAACGTCGGCCCCAAATACACTCGAGGGGCATTTCAGTCGATGAACGTTAAACAATGTTCTGCCGGTCTGGTAGTTTATATCGATCCTCCGCCACGCCTTAGAGTAGGCATCCACTGTCATAAGGAAAAAGTGAGACTCACTATGTTGACAGCACGTACTCAGCCCTGTTTCCCCCCCCCCCCCAACGATGACGGCAAATGCCTCAGCGATTATCCTGCCATGAACGTAGCTTAACAGTTAAGAGAATCGCCTAGTATATCCAAATGTCTGCAGGACTTTTCGGAGTCCACCGCGACTCACTGTGTCGAGGACCTTCGCCAGATTTGCGACGTTGGTGTGTAGACTCGCTCTTTTTTCCTATCACTTTCCCAGCAGTTAACGATCGGCGGATGCCATGTCTGTTGTCCTGCAGTGTTTTGAAATTCCCCACTGGGTTTCTGGAAGTATTTCCTTCTCCTGACGCATGTTCAAGCGATTTGGCATAACATGGGTGAATAATTTGCTTGTAAGGTTAAGAATTGAGATTGTGGCGGCTAACCATCATGACTGGGCCGGCGTGATTGTTCAAGACCTCACTGCCTCAAGGTCATTCACCCCCTTGCAGCGAGCCGTCCCAGACGAGCTGACCTGAAGTCACACGACCAACAGCTCGGTCATACCTGCGTCCGCGCAGTCGAGGCTGCCCATGCGGCCACTTGAACGCGCTACCCCCTGCAACCAGCAAAAGAAGCCATTGGCACTCCACCCCTCTGCAAATGTAACACACGCCGACTGGCCACCACTTGAGCTTGGCCCACGAGCCTACAAAGGCGGCTGCCACCACTGTCTCAGGGACTCTCAGGCCTGACTGGACGCAGTCAACACCAGCCCTGGCTTTGCCAGTGACCACAGTCGCCTGAGAGGACGACTGTGCACCATAAATCCTCAAACAGGTCCCTTCTGCCTTCTCCTTCCAATCTGGGAT